CATTTGACTCTGTGTAAAAGTGAGCACCAGTACTAGGCGTTAACGGCAGAGAAGCAATGAATTTGCTGAGAACGCCTGGCAAACAAAGGAAACACCACAGAGCAAAACGCAGAAGCGGAGAAAACCACCGGTACCACTGACACACCGAGACCACGCCCAATTGAATACAGATTGCTCTGTCATGGTTATAGTCTACGTGGAAGACGTCGTGGTAGACAAACAGCAGAAAACACAGTGTCTGGAAGAGTACCGCACATCAAAACGCTCAGTTCAAGCAAACCACTGGTACCCCTGAGATGCCCTTACCGTGTGCAAATTGAATAAAGAAGTATTAAAGATTAATCCGTCATGCGTTACATAGTAAATGTGAATGATGTGATGGTCAGCAAACAGCAGAGAACACATAAGCTACACGACTTCGCACCACGCAGTGGGCAACAGATAGCATAGAACACGATCTGTTCTAGAGGCAGGACATTGCACCTGCTCCGGAAAGCTGCAGGACATTGCACCTGCTCGGGAACGCAGCAGGATATTGCACCTGCTCCGGAAAGTCCCTCTTCTAGAAATACATGAACGGATCCAGAATCCGGTGAAGATTATTCCTGTAGCAAGAGTTCTGGCACGACAACCGAGGACTACAGAACAAGACCGGACCATCAGCAAACGGCAAACAGGACAATCTCTTCGACGGGCAGGCCTCAGAGAATGCTCAGGAGCTTATCTGCAAGTAATATAGACATACCTGTTGGAAGAGCGCCCGGAGGAAGAACCTGCACACCTGCCGGAGCCATATCAAACCCGCTCGCTCTTTTACTGTGCAAGAAAACATAAAACCACCCCGAAATCACCACACTATCAGAGAATATATACACCATGCACGCCCACACTTGACTGAACTGGATTCAAGCTCAAATATCGACGAGACCCCATCATGCAAGCACCCTTCGAGTAGTAATCATGCACACACAAAACGAATAGCAATCACGCACATACAAGTGCGCACCTTCTGTCGCTTGCATCTTTCCGTACATGCAAGGTTTACTCACTGTAAGGGATGTTCTTCAACAACCCAAAAATAAAAACAATATATTTGGATTCCCTACGCCATTCCTGTTACTGCACACTTCAAGCTTCTTTCCTGAAATTCAGAAGTTCCATGCGGCGAATCAACAAACAGATGTTGCGAAGATTTACAAATACAATCGAAAGGGCTGTCCTGGTCATAGATTAGTTGGTGCATTTATCTTTTAAAACAAGGCACAACTCACGGGTAAGACATCCGCTAGGGACACAGCGCTTCTGGACTTGAAACGAATACACTGGAAATTTGGCGTGTCAGATAGCCAAGAGCCCGTCAGTCCCCAGCGTGCTTCTGCCCCCGAGCCAACTTCCCTTTTGGAAGTTTCTCAAGGGGCAGCCTCGGAATTGCACACACCATATATGGATGTATGGGCCCCTTGTACTCCTACCGTCTTCACCCGATGCCCGGTCATTATAACTGTATTTGGCATAACTTTGAGTCCAGAATGCAGAGATAATGACCGGCCGTTCTATTCGGGTGAAGACGTTAGCATACTATGGGTCACTTTCAGAACTGCATACACCTGATTTGCATGTAAGCCCTTCCAGTTGACAAAGATGTGCAAGGAATATGATTGTGAACGATATACAGAAAACCAAGTTGCAAAATCACACAGATGTCCAAGTAGTCGTGTCCAAGCAGAGAGTACAAATGCACCGAGAAACCATCCATACAATGAAGTAACGAGTCAATGTTCAAGCCCATAGGCCACACCAACACAGTATCCAAAGTCGCTCCTCTCTGTCTGGCGCCCAGCACCCAGCCTACTCTACCCGACTATCCTACCTACAGCTGTGTTCACACAACAGGCTCACTTAGACTCTCGAAGACCAATGTACATGACTGTCAACACCACAGCCGACCTCTCTTCATGCACCGGGTACGTATCTCGTCACCCTCAATCAAACCTTCATAACCCCACACTCGCCTCCTTCCCTGAAGACCACCAGATCACCCTGCTCACCCCCTGGCGCCCAGCAGCCATAGGCTATGGCTGCTTGCGCCCCGCTACCCTGGAGCGCCCAACTTCACCTCTGTGCGCCCCGTCAGCGCCCTTGGGCGCAGTGCAGCAGCAAGCAGTAGCGCAGCAGCACTTCCGCATTGCCTACGCAGGCCAGAATGCCTGACCTGGGCTGCCTCACTTCTTTTATGGAAGCGGCAGCCTCCTGGATGCTGGGTGTGGCCTGGCAGGAAGCTTCCAGTAGCTTCCGGTTGGGCCTCAGTCCCTGCGCCCAGGTCCAAGCCTACAGTTGAGGGCCTGGGCCCCATTTCCAGTTGGGCACGGCCTAAGTCTCCGGACTTGGGCTGTTTGCTGCATCTGTGCAGGGATCCCCGATAGGTGCGTCGACAGTACTGCTTTTGCCTAGGTCGAGGGCCTGCTTCTCAATGTATCGGCCCTGCTTTGTGTGTATGTGCCCAGGCGCAACTGTCAAGGCCTGGGCCAACTGTACGACGCAGCTTAGTGAGGCTCGCTCGTCCATTCAACCAACTGGCGTGGTGCAAGAGCCTGAATACCCACATATGAAGGTGTCAAATTTTGGCCTTTGACGAATATTCAGGCCCGCCTTCACTCAGGGCATCCCCCTTAGTTTTGAAAGTCCGCTGAGATGCTTCATGCTGGTGCCTTCCCCTTAAGTTTCTTCTCATATTCTGCCACGATCTGAGGAGCTGTCTTCACAAGTTCCTCCCTTGGAATCCATCGATCTTCCTTAGGATCAGTATGACTTGCAGGTTTAGGAGGTCTACCTCTGCAGTTGGCTTGGGAACAGGCATGTCTCTGTGGTCCAGAATACCGTCGACGTCCACATGGCCATCCATGGTTGGGGGCAGCATAGATCTCCGTGATGGGAACTGTGCTGTCTCAGCAAAAGGTGCAAGCTTGGAGACGTGAAAAACAGGGTAAGTGCGTAGGTGACCAGGGATACAAATGACGTATGAGGGACCATCCAAATCGTTCCCCACAATATCTAAGACTTCCCAGGGACCAAAATACTGAGGCATTAGTTTCCTAGAGATGCCAAACTCCTGTCCCAACTCAATAGCCTTGACCCAGATACAATCCCCTACCTGAAATGTGGACTGTCGGCGATGCTTGTTCTCAGAAGCAATCATGGCTTGCTGCGATTTCTTGATGTGTTCGACAGTCTGCTGCAATAATTGCTCATACTGGACACCAAATTCAATGGTTCCAGGAGTTGCAGCAGTTCGGTTTTCAGGCAGGAGGAAGACTAGCAGATCTAGGCTTCCATCCCAGATGCAGTTGATTAGTGCTGATGTCGGTGGTGCTATGTACAGCATTGTTTTACAGCCTGGCGATGAGAGGTAGTTTCTCGTTCCAGTCATCCTGGCTGGGCTTGATGTAATGCCTCGGCAGATGCTGCACCACCCGGTTCATCTGTTCAGCCTGCCCATTCGCTTCAGGATGATTCCCAGAAGTCATCTGAAGCTGGCTGCCCATCTGTTCAGCGGCCTTCTTCAACATCTCACTGGTAAACCGGACATCTCTATCACTAACAATGGTCTTTGGCAGTCCAAAGTCACACACCCAGTTGTCCATGAACAACTTGATGACGTGCTCAGTCCTGGCAGTCTCCGCCATGGCAATTATTAGTGAACCTATCCACTATGACGAAGATGTGCCTCTTGCCATTCTTGCTCATCACGAAAGTATCCATGAAGTCCATGGAGATACTCTGCCCTGGGCCAGCAGGAATGGGTAGAGGCTTGAGTACCCAAGTGGAGCTTGAGCCCGCGGCTTGTCCCGCTGACAGACCTGACAGGTCTGTACGTACTTCTTTACATCGTCCAGCATGTTAGGCCACCAGAATCGTTGTACTAAGTTATCACTAGTCTTCTTATAGCCGAAATGCGTCGTGGCACTCACCTAAAAATAAACTACACAAAATTTCCCTAGATGGAATAATTAACCTCTTAAACCCTGCCTTTTCAAGAAAGAGTAACCCATCAACCATCACAAACTGGTCAGTGATGGCCTTATCTTTGGCCTGAAGTTTGTTGACGATGTCCATCGTGATGGGATCTTCCTTGTAGGCTTCCCCCGAAGATCGAGTAACGTCCTCAGATAAGCCATCTCGGAAATCAGCGCACCTAGGTAATCTGCCCTGCGAGACAACGCATCCGCAACCTTGTTGTACTCTCCCTTCACATAGTCTAGTTTGAAGTCGTACTGATCTATGACTTCAATCCAGCCTTTTAGTGCATCCGAGAGAACTGGTTGGGTTTTGATCCACTTGAGGGTCTGATGGTCACTTTTCAAGTAGAAGAACCTTCCTAACAGATAGCGCCTCCAGTGGACAAGTGCCTTGTAGAGAGCATAGAGTTCACTCTCGTAGGTGGACTTTGCCAACTTCTTTGATGGCATCTTTTTACTCATATACTCGACCGGTCTCAACTTTTTCCCTTCCTACTGAGCCAGCACTGCACCAATGCCATATTGGCTTGTGTCAGTGGTTACAATCAAATGGCCTTTGCGGGTCGAGTACCATGAGAACTTCATGGTGTGTGAGCGCATGCTTTAAACGCTTGAAAGATGCCTCACACTCGTCGGTCCAATCCCAAGGTGTATCAAGTCGAGTTAGATCAGTCAAGGGAGATGTGATCATGCTGTAATTTTTTATGAAGTTGCGGTAATAAACACACATTCCCAATAATTCACATTTCTCTAGGTTTATCTTATACTTGTTTTGTCGAAGGAGTGAAAGTACCTTGTCTACATGCTGAGCATGCTCCTCGACAGTCTTACTAAAGATAAGTATGTCGACAACGAACTTATCCAAGTAGTCATGGAAGATCCTATTCATGGTGTGTTGGAATGTACCCGGCGCATTGCAAAAGCCAAAGGGCATCACCACAAACTTGTACAGACTGTACCTGGTCTGGAATACGGTTTCGTACTGGTCCTCTGGTCTTATGGCAATCTGATGGTAGCCGGATTTTAACTCTATCTTGGTATAGTACTTACACCCCTGCACCCTATACAATAGGTCGTCGATGCGTGGTAGAGGCTTTGCGTTCTTAACGGTGATGGCATTGAGGCCTCTATAATCAATGCACATCCTTAGTGTTCCCCCTTTCTTTGGAACAAATAAGACTGGTGAGCCAAAGGGGGAGGTGCTAGGCCGAATCCACCCCTTCTCTGTGAGCTCTTTCAGTTGTCGCCGAAGCTCGTCCAACTCGGTCCGAGTCATCCTATAGATTCTTCCTTTAGGTGTCTTGCTACCTAGGATGATCTCTATGGCATGGACAACCTCCCTGACTATGACTCCTGTAGGCTCCTCAAACAGATCGGGGTACTTAGCGACGATGATCTCTATCTCTGGGGGGGGGGTTAACGGCCTCCACTTTTGCAGAGACAAAGACTAAGTACATTCCCTCCTCTTGGTCTCTATCTCTGGGGGTGTTTTAAGGGCCTCCACTTTTGCAGAGACAGAGACTAAGTACATTCCTTCCTTTTGGTTCTGTTTATAATAGTTATAGAACGAAAGTGCGCATAAGCACCCATAGGAGTCTATTAACCTACTGGCTTTATACTCGGCCAGTCGAACGGTCCTCCCATTAGGCAACTCCTGCTTCAACACCTTGTCCCAATCAAACTAGGGTTTGGCAACCTCGAGGTAGTTCATGCCCAACAACATGTCGAAAGGCAAATAGTCGCTCACCAGGAATGACATCTTATGATTTAACTCTCCTCCTGGGTAGGAGAAAGTGCAGA